CTCCTCCTCCTCCTCCTCTTCCTCCCCTTCCTCCTCCTCCTCTTCTTTTCTTCCTCCGCTCGCGCGCGGTAGACGTAGCACTGGTAGACGTAGTGCGAATGATAGATCTAATGCTGTTGGTTGTCGAGCGGGGAGGTCCAGAACTAATGTCTCACAATTGTTCGCCGTGCTGGGTTTTGTTGGGTGATTGTAATCCTTTGCGCTATTCTGCGCACGAAATGAATCCCCGGCCCGTGCCTGTTCGCACAAGGATTGTCATACAAAGCTATGCGCTTGCCCTCGAGTCGTCTCGTCCTAGTCCCACCACTGATATTATGCCAACGACGGCGGCGGCGGAACAATTGTTTGCAAATTATTGTTGAGCGTCGGCAACCCTCAATTAGGGCCCGAGTCAACCGCTATTTGTCCATTATTGGAGGGGAGGGTATTAACGACCTTTCGCGGTTAACATCAGACCAAGAGGTCGGTAAATCAGTCGAGGAGACGATCGTGATAGTAGCAATGTCTGTTGAGCCTAACATGCTTGCGTGCATGGTCGCGAAGCAATAATCCACTGCACGGGGAACGGAACGGAACGCTCGTACGGGCAACTGCCTTGGACCCGTAAGGGCGGAGCGGGTGAAGTCGTGGCCTCGCACACAAGACCGGTGACATCAGTAGTTCATGTCAAAAAACGTGTGGATGACGAAAGACTATCCCCCATGTGTTCCATTCATCCGTGATGGCCTGTTGTAGCCACTCGGGGGGGTCAACCGAAGCTTCGCCCCCAGCGATCGGGGAATCGGGGTGCCCTCCCCGGGGCGTCTTGTGAACGAGCGCTGCAGGTCAGGGGCACGATCTTCGCAGCCGTCTTTCTAATGCTCACAGTGGCGCCTGGCCGAATTATGGAATTGACTAAAGCCAGCTGCGGCCGTGAACGTACGGTTGGAAGCCTTTGCATGGCGTGTCGCGGCGGCGGCCCCAACGACACGCTATGCCTTGCAGGTGGATAGCGTGTCGCTCCGCTCCGCGTGGTGGGAGGCTGGGCAAAGCTCGGGACTTCGACACTCGGGGACCTGAACGTGGCTAACGTGTCGCGCCGAAGCGCGGTGGGCCAAAGTTGCGGAGCGAGACGCTAAGCCAAAATTACTGACCGTAAATTGGCGGGAGCTGGACCACCCCAGGCTCCGGGTGCTGTGTGTCAGTGCCGTGCCGAGCGTGTTGGCAGGGGGAGTCAGCGCGCGCACTGTGCTGAGCCTCCGTGCAGCACGCTGCTTCAAAGCTCAACGGTGTGGCGGCCGCGGGGTCCCAGACTCGGTGTGCTGGGCTGGCGTGGCCGCCTCTCCCGCTCCCGAGCGGGCGCTCCTTCGACATTGTTGTAAGCGACTTCCCACAATTCTCCTCCTCCTCCTCCTCTTTCTACCCATCCCCCTTCAATGACGACGTCGACGAACAATTCCCGAACCGTTGGGTGCCGTGCCCTGCCTTTTCCTCTTCTTCCATCTCCGCCTCCTCTTGCTCATCCTCGTCGTCGTCCTCCTCCTCCTCCTCCTCCTCCTCCTCTTCCTCACCGTCCTCCTCCTGCTCCTCCTCGTCCTCTTCCTCCTCTTCCTCCTCCTCCTCCTCCTCCTCCTCCTCCCCCTTTCCCCTTTTCCCCCGTCCCCCCTTCTACCTCTCCTCCTCATCCTCCCATCCTCCTCCAGCTCCCCGACGTCTCGTCTCCCGCGCGCGCAGTCGGCACTCCCGAACGGCCTGGATCGCCCCGGTCCAGATGGCCCGGCCCTTCTGGTCTGGGTCCCAGCTTGTGAGCGTCTCCATGCTCGACCTGGGGCTCCTCCTCCTTTTACTCCTCCTCCTCCTTCTCCTCCTCCTTTTCCTCTTCCAGTCTCCTCCTCCTCCTCCGTTTTGAATTGCGCAATATGGGTGCTACTCTGTCTCTCCGCTATCTGTAGTTCCCAACCATCATGTGGTGTTGGGTCCTCGTTTTGAAAAGACAGTGCTCCGCGTTCTCCTCCTGCCTTGCTTCCTCCTCCCCTTCCTCCCTTCCATTTTTCCTCCGATCCCTGCCTCTGCCCAACGAATCAGTCAACTATTTTGGCACACCACTCACACGTTTCGTGGCCCCACAGGGAACCCTACCAAAGGCCCAAATGCCAGCGTTCGCATGCGCCCACCGCGCTCATTGTGACACGCCCCTCGCACGTTTCGGGGCTCCATAAAGAGCACCACCGAAGGCCCAAATGCCAGCGTTCGCACGCACCGATCGCACCGATTTTGGCACACCCTTCACACGTTTCGCGGCCCCACAAGGAGCCCCACCGAAGGCCCAAATGCCAGCGTTCGCATGCGCCCACCGCACCCGTTTTGGCACGCCCCTTAACACGTTTCGTGACCCCACAGGGAGGCCCACCGAAAGCCCAAGTGCCAGCGTCCGCATGCACCCACCGCGCTCATTTCGGCACGCCCCTCACACGTTTCGGGGCCCCATGGGGAGCCCAACCGAAGGCCCAAATGCCAGCGCTCGCGTCTCTGAAACGCAAGACCTTCCCGAGTTGGCATCCGATGTGCTTTTTCCCAGCCATCCTGTGGTGTTGGGCCCTTGTTTGAAGAGACAACACCCCGCGTCCTCCTCCCGCTCCTCCCTCCTCCTACCTCCTCCATCATCATCGTCATCACCCTGTCAGCACACCCCTCACACGTTTTGTGGTCCCGTAAGGAACCCCACCGAAGGCCCACATGCCAGCGTTCGCATGCGCCCACCGCTCCCATTGTGACACCTCTCACACGCTTCGTGGCCCCATAGGGAGCCCCACCGAAGGCCCACATGCCAGCCAGCGTTCGCATGCGCGCGCCGCACCCATTTTGGCGCACCCCTCACACGTTTCGTGGCCCCATGGGGAGCCCCACCGAAGGTCCAAATGCCAGCGTTCGTATGCGCCCACCGCGCCCATTTTGACACGCCCTTCACACGTTTCGTGACCCCACATGGAGCCCCACCGAAGTCCCAAGTGCCAACGTTCGCATGCACCCACCGCGCCCATTTCGGCACGCCAGTCACACGTTTCGGGGCCCCACAAGGAGCCCTACCGAAGGCCCAAGTGCCAGCGTTCGCATGCGCCCACCGCGCTCATTTTGGTACACCCTTCACACGTTTCGTGGCCCCACAGGGAACCCTACCAAAGGCCCAAATGCCAGCGTTCGCATGCGCCCACCGCGCTCATTGTGACACGCCCCTCGCACGTTTCGGGGCTCCATAAGAACCCCACCGAAGGCCCAAGTGCCAGCGCTCGCATGCTCCCACCGCGCCCATTTTGGCATGCCCTTCACACGTTTCGGGGCTCCATACGGAACCCCGCCGAAGGCCCAAATGCCAGCGTTCGCACGCACCGATCGCACCGATTTTGGCACACCCTTCACACGTTTGGTGGCCCCACAAGGAGCCCCACCGAAGGCCCAAATGCCAGCGTTCGCATGCGCCCACCTCGCTCATTTTGGCACACCCGTCACACCTTCTCGTGGCCCTATAGGGAGCTCCTCCGAGTCTGGTGCATACAACGACGGCGTCCACAACTACACATGGTTGGGTCCCTCGCCATGTTAATTTTCCGATCGGAGCGTTCTCGGTCCTTCAGAATTGGTGCTCCCGTTGCACCGTTGGTTACACGTCAGGATCGGCGCCTTGTCCCGTCATTCAGATTTGCGCTCTCGGCCCAGCGCGCGCCACCTCTCTGGATCCGATTCGTTCCTTGTTGTTGCCGTCCCCCTCCTTTGCCCTCATCCGCCTTTCCCTGGTCGTCCTGCTCCTCCTATTCCTCCTGCTCCTCCTGCTGCTGCTCCTTCTCCGCATTCTTCCTCATCGTCCTGCCCATCCGCCACTCCCACCTCCTCGTCCAATGTACGGCGCTCCCCCCTCTCTCATTGCGTATCACACGATAGAGTCATGGTGGAGCTCAGAGTCATCTAGGACACCCACCCTTGCCAGCGGACAGAAAATGGTTCAGCGCAATGGGAAAGGTTTGGTGGGACGGATCGGATGCCAGACATGGTCCGAGCGCATCTGTTTTGCCTCTCTCCTCTCCTAGCTCCTGCTCTGTACTGTTCGGCTCTGGTGAAATTCAGATCCCTTGAATTGGGACCACCACAAGTCTGACTGACCATGCTATCTGTTGAACCCCAAAAACCGTGATCAGGGCGCCCAGTGCAACATGTGGACAGCAAGGAGGTCGACGGCGAGGAGGGAGAGGAAGCAAACGGCGAGGAGGGAGAGAACACGCGGACACGGAGCGAGGGCCCTAGCTTGTCCCTTTACTACCCAAACGTCCGACGACATGTTTGCTCAGTGCGTGGCCCCAGGAGGTCCCGACCCCTTCCCCAGGTGCATTTTTTGTTCCAGATCCGTCTTTGATGGTCCTGGGGGCCGATAGCGGGCCCCAGCGGCCGAAATGGGGGAATCCGAGATCTGGGTAGCGGCCCCCGAAAGTCTCGACCGGGGACGTGGCACTTCGCCAAGGGTTGTTTTTTCGTACCGGATCCGTTTTTGATCGTCCCGGGGCCCGAAAAGGGGCTCGGGAGGCCGAAGCGTGCGCCGATCAAAAACGGGTCTTACGCGAGATGACACAGCGACCTTACGCCGCAGCTTACGCGGGCCGCTAGCGCGGCACGCCACACTGGAGACGAGGGCGCTTACGCGCGACCTTACGCGGGCAGCTTACGTGCGATGTCGGCGAATACGACCTCGTGTTCACGCGTCGCTTGAGTGACGAAACGACGGCAGGATTGAAACGGCCAATCCGCCGCCCGAAATCGTAGTCTCCTCTCTGCTCGGTCGTCTGGGCCACAGCTCGTCGGCGTCTCCGCTGCGCGACCTCGCCGTGCTCGCCGCCGTGCCCACCGACGAAACCGCCACCCCGACGCCGTCGCGGATCCGCGCGCCCGCCGCCGCGAGCGAGAAGACGTACTCGGGCACCCGCGCCACGCCGAGGCGCTGGCACAGCTCCTCGCAGAAGTGGCAGCAGTTCCTC